GCAAATAATACTGCAAATGAAAAAAAAATATTTAGTCAAGAACACAAACCAATTGAGATTAAAACAGTGGCATTATTATATATTAATAGTAATACTAATGGCTAATATTTATGGAGTATTAACTATGTAACAGGCATCATACTAAATACATCATATACACAATTTAATTTCATTAGCATAACATTGTGAAGTTATGTAATTTTTGGCAGAAACGGAAACCTAAACATAGACTGGATAACTTGCCTAATATTATAAAGCTAGAAACTGTCAGAACTAGAAAAAAAAAAAAAACAAGGCAATGTATCTCTAAGGCCAAATCCTTAATCACTATACTCTAAAATTGTTATTTTCCTATTATATAAATAAAGGCTTCTTCCATAAAATAACTCAGAAGATGGGGGACTGAGGAGTTTGGGGGTTATGGGAAAAGGAATGAGACTAAAAATAGCACAATTACTCTCAAGTGCCATATTCTCAGAGAATGGAGAATGGAGGTAGGAAAATGCAGAATGGAGGTAGGAAAATTCTGTTCCCAAAGGACTTTTGTGGTTATGGTATAAATTAAGACATATTTCCAGGGGCTGGGGATGTGGCTCAAGTGGTAGCGCGCTCACCTAGCATGCGTGAGACACTGGGTTCAATTCTCAGCACCACATAAAAACAAAATAAAGATATTGTGTCCACGTAAAACTAAAAAATATTTTTAAAAAATTAAAATTAAAAAAATTAAAAAATAAATAAAAATATTCCCAGAATACAGTATCCTAATTTGGAGTAAAAATGTATATTCTATAGATAAAAACAGTCAACGATAGCTCACAAAAACCTATTCTTCAAAAAATAGCCAAATAATGACAGTTTTATAAATATTTACTTCAGGCTTAATAATAAGTGGCACCACTTACTCTAAGAGCTGAAGATACAGAACAATATGTCAGATAAAGTGCTCACCGTCCTAAAGCTTACATTTCTACAGAGGAAAAATAACATACAAACAAATAGCTAAGGGCTGGGGATGTGGCTCAAGTGGTAGCGCGCTCGCATGGCATGCGTGCGGCCCGGGTTCGATCCTCAGCACCACATACAAACAAAGATGTTGTGTCCGCCAAGAAGTAAAAAATAAATATTGAAATTCTCTCTAAAAAAAAAAAAAACAAATAGCTAAATAAGCATATGAGGTCATTTTAAATAGGGAGAAATACTAAAAGAAAATAAAACACGATGATATTATGGAGCAAGAGTGAGCCTGAGGGTGCCATTTTAAACTGGCTAATCAGGAAGAGCTTACCAAGAACATGACATGTGAGCAGAGATCTGAAGAACAGGAAAACAGACATCAGAAAATACAAGAGAGTTTTGCAGAGTCACAACACAAAGTTGTGTAAGAGCTGCACTGACAAAATGGGGAAGAAAGCCAACATGGCTAAAATGTAGTAAAATTGACAGTGGTTAAATGAAGCTGATTTGATGGGCTGTTTTATTTTTTTTTATTTAATTTCACTATTCCTTCTCATATTACTTTTAGTCAACTTTAATATTCTCATTAGCATTTTTAAACTATTATTCCTATTTTTGTTTGGATTAGAATAGCTGAACTACTAAATTTCACTAGATTCCTTTAATTCTGTTTAGTTATTTCTCCAAAGCTGTGTATATATAACTCCAAAACAAAAGGTAAAGAGCAAAAAATTAATCACCCCACAGTGTTCTCCATTCAAAACAAAACATCCAATCCAGCTGATTTTAGTGAAATGGCTCAATATTACAACACCCAGGCAGAAAAGTTCCTTTGTTTATCTACAAAGTTGATATCTCTCCACTACCACAGGAAATTCAGAAGGAATCCCATGGCAATAATTTAATAGCTTTTCCCTTGTACATACATACTCATGTGGTTTAGAGAAAAGGCAAAAACAACATTAATGAACTTTTAACAGGCATTTACAGGAATTTCTTAAGATGTTTTATGGATATTATAAAATTGATTTCATAACTGTGGAAAATTTACATTTGGTTTTCTTCTATGACAGAACAGCCGATTTTATAGTTATTTTTTGCTTACTTGGGACTGAACCCAGGGATGCTCTGCCACTAAGCTACATCCCCAGCTCTTTTTTTTTACTTTGAGACAGGGTCTTACTAAGTTGCTTAGGGCCTAAGTTGCACAGGCTAGCCTAGAACTTGTGATCCTCATGCCTCAGCCTCCCCAGTCACTAGGATTAAAGATGTGTGCCATAATTTTGCAACGTTCTATAAAAGAAAACTTTTTATGTTTAACATGCCACAAATGAGAATTCACAATCTAACATTAGGCTGTTAAGATGTTCACAGATCTTGACTACTACCCTTCATTTTCAATTTGAGATGCTAATATATTACACTTTATGCACTGATTTGTTTTATATTAAAGTATAATTTAAAACTATCCTAGAATCAAAATGAAAAACAGAACTAGAAACAAGTGTGTCGGTTCCTCAACTCAGTAACTCATTAATGAAAAAAATGATTGACAAGGAATCTTATAACTACTCTTGTAACTCTGAAAAAATAGAAAGAAAAAAGTGTTTCTTCCTTGGAAAGGGATGGTGGCTCAGTGGTAGAGTGCTTGCTTAGCACGTTGAGGCACTGGGTTCAATCCTCAGCACCCCATATAAATAAAATAAAGGTATTGTGTCCATCTACAACTAAAAATATTTTTTTTTAAAAAAGTGTTTCTTCCTGGGCTAGGGTTGTGGCTCAGTGGTAGAGCACTTGCTTGGTATGGTGAGGCCCTGGGTTCAATCCTCAGCACCACATATAAATAAATAAAACAAAAAGATCTATTGAAAACTAAAAAAATAAATTAAAAAAGGTGTTTCTTCCTAAATATTACTTCATTCCCCCCCCCCAATTTCTCAAACTCTTCACTACCACATGTCAGATACCAGTCAACAACACACAAGCCTGATTTTACATGTTTATATGAACAGTATTCAGAGGCCTGTCTCAGATACTTCTCCCAGGGCTAAGGATATATAGCTCAGAAGTAGAGTACATGCTTATAAAATGCAAAAGGCCCTGGGTTCAATTCCTAGTATTTGGAAAAAAAAAAAAAAATCAGATACTACTCCTACTAGGTGTGTGTGTGTGTGTGTGTGTGTGTGTGTGTGTGGTGTAGCTTCTAAAAAGCATATACTTAGTGTAAATTTATCAACAGTTATACTGCTTTTCTTTTTTTGCTAGGGATCAAACACAGGGCCTAGTATATGCTAGGTAAGCACTCTACCACTGAGCTACACCCCTAGGTCTCTAATACTGTTAAGTACAATTTTCCTAATATATTTGCTTCACTAAAGACTAATGACTTAAGATTTGTTCCCTAGGACTGAAAATTTTAAAAAGGAAAAAATATTTTTATAAAAATATGCCTCTCAACAGATGTCAAACACAACAAACAGAAAGGATTACAATGTCTTTCCAATGGCTGCTCTAATAGAGGGCAACTTTATGCTTTCTCTCCCAATATGAAGCAATATAAAGCAAAAACATTACCTATAACATATTCTTGCTAAAAAATGGAAACTCTAAATCAAGTATCTCCACCTAACTTTCAATTTATAAGAAATATACACAACAAAGGATGGAATTAAATGACAGGTTCAGAGAAACAACCAAATAAAAAACTGGTCTGTACTCATCCATAAGTCACGTCTCAACACTCTACTAAACAATTTATCTTTTCCCCACTGATTTGTGTGTTAGAATGACCTTCATTCCCACTGAATAATCTAACAAGTGAAAGGTAAAAAGTACTTAAGAAACAGCAAAGGAGAAAAAAAGCAGGCACATACAGGAGAAGTATAAGAGCTTAACTCAAGAAGGGTTATGAATAAATGCAGTTATTATCAAATTCCTGCACACCATGTCATATTTACTAAAAGATACAGTATGTAAATGATAAATGAAAACTAAGTATTATTTTTAAACGTATATTCCCTCAAAACTGTTTGGGAAATGCCTGACTTTACATAACATCATAAGGAAAAGTTTTCAGAGATTAAACCATCTTCTACTAACCAATAAATTGGATTACATTTCACTTAGCATTTACTTCTATTAATATAGAACAAAAGAATGATAGTAAAGCAGACATTATAAGCATCCTGAAGACAATTTTTACAAACTTTCATTTCCCCCAGAAAATGGGAATGTTTATATCACTTTGAAATATCTTCTTTTTTCAGTGTAACACCTAAAAGTTTTTCATTGTTCTTGTTGTAGGGTGTTTTTGTTTTGTTTTGTTTTGGACACAGCCACATCAATGTTTATAGCAGCTCAGTTCACAATAGCCTAGCTATGTTACCAACCTAGGTGTCTTTCGACAGATGAATGGATAAAGAAAATGTAGTACATATAAACAATGGAATATTACTTACTCATAAAAATAATGAAATTATGGCATTTGCCAGTAAATGGATGGTACTGAAGACTATCATACTAAGTGAAGTAAGCCAGTCCTAGAAAACCAAGGGCAGAATCTGCTTTCTGATACGTGGAAGCTAATCCACAACAAGGGAGGGTGGGGAGGAGAAGAATAGAAGTCCACTGGAATAGAAAAAGCGGGATAAAGAGAAGGGAGCAGGTAGGAGAACAGGAATGACAGTAGAATTAATCAGACATAACTTTCCTGTCCTTGTATTTGAATACACAACCAGGGTAACTTCACATCATGTATAACCACAAGAATAGGATCCTAATTAGAATAAGTTATACTTCATGTATGTATAATATGCCAAAATATATTCTACTGTCATGTGTATCTTAAAAAAACAAATAAAGTAAGATTTTTAAAAAAAAATAAAATAAAAAAGGTTTAAACATTGTATTGTCATGTGCAACTAATAAAAAATGAAAAAAAAAAACATGAATTTACAGAATTTGTAACTCTTTGTTCCATTACTGACAACAAAACAGACTGGGAGTGAAACAAATTGCACCATAAGAAAATTTCCAAAACGTACCTTTTATTTTCAGCCAAATTGGCTCCTTCATCCTTCAGCTGTTTACTTTTCTCAGTACAGCCTTCAAGGAGAATTTCTTTCCTACGTTTAATGGCATGAAGCCAGTTTCCTTCATCATTCTCAACTACATCTTTCTCATCAGCAGCTTCAGCTTCAAATTGCTGTGAAGTGGCCTTGGAGACCTTCTCACCAATTTTCCTCTTCCATCCAAAGGAAGCCATGCTGGAAAATTACAAAGAAAAATTATGAAATTCAACCTTAGCCTTTTATAAAAATATTCCAACTAACAGGTGAATAAAGAGTAGCAGGCTTAGACTATCACCAGTTTTCAATTCTCAATTAGTAGATCTGGGCAATGATCATCAAGGGCTGCTAACATCACCTAGAAAGACAACTGGACATTACACATTACTGCAACTCTTAATGGAAGCAGCACACCATCCAGAAAGCAGGTCTGCAAAAACTAATCCTCAATCACATCAGCCCTCTAAGAAAGTTTATAAAAACATATGGATACAGTTAAGCATACTTGAGTAATACATCAGAGACACAGGCAGCAGAAAACAGAAACTCAAGAGAAGCAAAACTGGTTTCTAGCTGGGTGCAGTGGCACATACAGTGGCGCATACCTGTAATCCCCAGGTTCAGGAGGCTGAGGCAGAAGGATCTCGAGTTTAAAGCCAGCCTCAGCAACAAAGAGGTGCTGAGCAACTCAGTGAGACCCTGTCTCTAAATAAAATACAAAATAGGGCTGGGGATGTGGCTCAGTGGTTGAGTGTCCCTGAGTTCAACCCCCAGTGTCCCCCCCCAAAAAAACTGGTTTCTTCAAGACATTAACTGCCAGAAAGATGAAGGAAGGCAGTAACCCCTAGATTGAGAAATTTAAAAGACATACACAATGTGTACATTTTTTTCTACTCCTGGTTCAAAAAAGCCAAGAGTTAAAAAAAAAAAAAAACCCTCTTATGACAAAAAAGATAAGAAAATTGATTTGATATTTAACAACATTAAAAAATTACTGCTATATTTTAGGTATGATAACACTATTATGATCATATTTATAAAAAGAACCCTTGTCTTTTAGAAATTACAGAAATATTTCATATAAAATTATACAATATCTAAAAAATTGTTTCAAAGTAATCATTGGGGTGCAGAGTTCAGTAGAGAGGAAGATATCAATGAAATAAGACTGCTTTGAATTAATAACTAATGAAGCTGAGTGATAAGTACATAGGAGTACTTTTCTCTCTCCTTTCATATATATCAAAATTTTTTAAAACAAATATAGTTTAAAAGATATAAGCTTATAAATGACTTAACTCACAGACCTATTGGGCAAATCAAAAAAATAAGAGAAGTTAAACTGCTTTTGTAAATCTGCAATAATGCAAATGTAAGGGATATGAAAGCAAAACTAAAGAATAAAGTTAAAGAAAATACTAGATGCATTCAACAAGTATTTGTTTAAAGAGGGGATTAATAAGGGATCCCACAATTTACTAGTTGCACAGATGGACTTCAAGATACTGAAGAATCCTTTGGATTGTATATAAACTTTTTATACAACAAGCACTGGAGAAGAGTATGTAAGCTTTCATTCCATTTTTACAGAAGTTTATAACCCCAAGGAGATTAGGTGAACTGATTGACCAAATAGAGGGACAGGGGGAAAAAATGCACCAAGTGCTCTTTGAATTGATTAAAGAAGTCAGGAGCAGTGGCACATGCCTGCTTAGGAGGACTGAGGCAGAAGGATTGTAAGTTTGAGGCCAGTCTAAACAATTTAGCAAAACTCTGCCTCAAAACTGAGAATTTTTTTAAAAGGACTAAGACATCGTTCAGTGGTAGAGTCCTTTCCTAGCATACACAAAGTCCTAGGTTTGATTCCCAGTATCACGAAAAAAAATTAAATAATATGATAGGATCAAGGAATAGGCATTTTAAGAGTAAAGGAAGGAAAGAAATGAAACAGTAAACAAGTAAGTTCTAGCAGATAGATGTGAAGATCTTTAACCTTGCCACATTTGGGTGAAGTGAAAGTAATCACTAAAGGAAGGGAAAAAAAGATGAGCATAGCTGTGAGATCGTTCACATGGAAAAGCCCTAAATAATAGCAGCATTGAAGGGGTAAGAAAATTGTGGGTCCTGGGACTAAGTTCTACTGAATATGAGAAAGTGCCAATGAAATGCACAAGCTGATATAAGTGAAACACATTTTACATAGGAACACAGATTTTTAGAAAAACCTGGAGAAGTGATGGATTATAAATCATGCTAGGACAATGTAAACTTTTCCCCAGACCCATCACAACATGGGAGAATGAGTTTTCGATGTCTGAACATGACTATACATATCCTAAGGGAAGAACCAAGAAATGGCTGAATACAGAAGTGTGGTTAGTATGGGTCACAAGTCCAGAGGCACAGAGAAGAAAACCTGAGGGATGGATTCTTAGGAGGGCCTCACAAGATATGAAAAAGGCAAGATAAGAAAGAAGTCATACATTTATGACTGTCCAAAAGGTTAACAAGGATGATGATTAAGTTTTCCAGTTTCAAGTTTCCACACAGAGCTCTGTTTCTATATTAGTAATGTAGAGCACCAGGCAGTGTAATAGCTCTACTAATAGTAACAGAAACCTGGCATGCTTACTGCGGGCAAATTACCTTAAAAATCACTGGTTAATCTGTTGATTATTAGGAGCAGGGGATATGAAGGGGAGGAAAGGAAAAAGGTAGATCCACAGTGACAGTTTCAGATATTTTTCCAAATTTTTGGATCAATCGGACTCCCATTACCATTCCTATCTTCTAACCCAAACCACCGTTATAATACTGAGGACACAATTCTCAATTGTGTATGAAAAAGCCACAACTTGTTTCCTCAAATGTTTGTCACTCTCTCCCACTAATTCCTCAAAGTCAAAGGCTGGAGAGGTCAGGACAGAATAAAGCTCTAAAATTATAGGAGGGCTGAAGACACAAGAAATTGACAAGATTCACCTTGAAGAGAGGAACAAGAAAACATATCTTGCAAAAGAGAAGCTAATACTGAGTGAAACCTATAGGAGAGTTCAGAGATGGAGGAAAAAGAAAAAGAATTTCATGTTCCCCACGATACATTTTTCTCAAGGAAATGGGAGACAGTCGTTTGCTCAAAGTAGAATAAAAATAAATGGATCTAAGTCTTGAGAAAAAATGAAAAGATCTGAAGTAGTCACTATGGGGATTAGGAAAGATACAATAAAGAATAAGTAGAAACACTGAACAGTATCAAGGGCCTAGAGGATAAAAGCATGAATCTTTTATTCATTCAAAGCCATTACCACAGTTTTATATTTTCTTCAAAAATGTCTTGAAACAATGAAAGTATAACCAAAAGTAATCAAAGGATGTCATGATATTTGAGAACGGACACTTGAGTATTTATAGAGAACTTTATATTTTAAAAGATAAAAGTTAACCAGGCTTAAAAAGAGGAGTGAGTCCTGGAATATGTGAAATACCTTCCCCAGGGAACATTGAACACTTCGATTTGATCTGGATATCTTAACTGCTGCTGAGGGGAGATGATGGAAAAGGCCTATTAATGATTTTAGAATTTCCATTTCATGTGATTAAAATGTTCTATAATTGGTGACACAACTGAGAACCATAGTAAGAACCATATATCCTTGAAATGGGTGAACTGCATGAGACATCAATTTTACCTAAATAAAGCTGTTCTTTAAAGATAAATAGTATAAAATTATCGTTTCTTTAAGGTTATCTGAACATAAAATTATAATTTACAAAAGGAGGTTTTCCTAAATCTATAGCTAGATATACAAGGTACCAACACCCTAGCCTTAACATTTTTTTCACCAGGATAAGAAACCATATGAATAAGTCACAATCATACAGGTTTCATGTTAAACTCATGAAACCCAAAAAACTCAAAAACATTTTATATATAATTATATTTAATGAGTGCCATAAAAATTCTAAATAATGACGTTCTATTCTGATTTCTTTCACCAGCCGTGACCCGTGTAGTAGGCGCTCAATAAGTTGGCAGCTTTACATCTTGCTCAACCAGGAGAAGGAGAAAGCCTGTGGGTGAGTAAAATGTCATTCCTGACCGGGTCCGAGGATGCAGGACTCAGGGCAAAAAAACACTGTGTGGACACAAGAAGTCGCCGCCGCATCCTTCCGGGTGGAGACGAATTCAGAGGTGAGGAACCCAGAAAACGAGTTATCCAAGAATGCTACTTCAAGAGAGAGCTGAATCGGCGACTTTTCCTTCATGAAGCCCGCCCCGGCCCTCGCCGCCAGTTGGCCGGAGCCGCCACGGGCCCCCGACCTCGGCCCGGCCGAGAGTGGGCGCAGCTTGCTCCCGGCCGCGGGAAGGTCCACGTCGCCGGCCGCCGCGCCCGCGCGCAACAGCCCAGGCGGCGGTGAGGCAGGGCCGACATTGCCGCCCGGCCCTGCTACCCCTCTAACGGGACCCCCTCTAGACTCCTGAAGCCCCCTTCTCCCCAACCACAACACCCACTCGCCTCGTCTTCCTCCTCTTCCCCCGGCTTCCCCGCCAACCTCTAGCCCCAATTACCTGATAACCACTGCCGCGGCCCCGTGTTTACATTCCGCTTGCCCTTTGCCACAGGAAGCGGAAACTAAAACGCCAGATTCCTTACCTGCCTACTTTTGCTCTCTAACCTCCGAAGAAAAGGGTTAAGAAGTCTCAGAGAGGTCCGAGTAGTTTAAAGAGGCTGGCAGAGAAATGACGACTATCGGGGTCTTTCTCCGCCGCAGACGCCTTCTCCTGGACTACAAATCCCAGAAGCCACTGCAGCGGGATCTGCAATGCCTTCTGGGACTTGTAGTCGGAGCCAGCGAGCGAATGACCTCAGCGAGAGGGCAGGAAAACATCATAGTGAGGCCAAAAAGGATACCAGGTTGTACCCAAGGCACAACCATTAGGCAAGTAAAGCAACGTGCTCTAACGCGCTTTACAACCTAACTGATGAGGTCAGCCACCACAGAGGGCAAAGAAAAAAAAAATTAAAGATTCAAGGGATTGATCAGTAAGGGTTCATGGCTTACCTGTAGGCTTCATGCGGGAATTAACAAATAAATTGGACTCAGAATAGAGACTACATGAAAGTAACTGTGAATCATGTCTAGAAAATAAGAGGGCAATTCACTGCTAGATGGCTAAAGAAAATTATAGTTGTGTGTGTGTGTGTGTGTGTGTGTGTGTGTGTGTGTGTGTATGCATATATTTTTTCCAATCTTTAAAAAAAAAGAAAAAAAAAAGAAGGAGGGGGAGGGGGAGGAGGAGGAGGAGGAGGAGGAGGAAATCCTGCCATTAGAAACAACATGGATTAACTTGGAGGATATTATATTAGGTGAAATAAGCCAGGCACAGAAAGATAAATACTGCGAATCTCGTGTGTGGCGTCTTAAAAAGTCAGAAACAGGGTAGAACAGTAGTCAACAGGGGCTGGGGACTGAGGATAATGGGTGGATGTTTATCAAAGGATTCAAGTTTGCAATTCTGGCAGACCTAAGATACAGCATGGTGACTACAGTTATTAAGACTGTAATATGTGGGCTGGGGTTGTGGCTCAGTGGTAGAGCGCTTGCCTAGCGTGTGTGAGGCACTGGGTTCTATCCTCAGCAACACATACAAATAAATAAAGACCCATCAACAACTAAAAAAAACCTGTTAAGACCAATGTGTACACACACTCAGGTAACCATGTGAAGTGATGGGTATATTATAAGCTGGATTGTGCTGATCATTTCAAAATGTATATCAAAACATCACCGTGGGGGCTAAGGTTGTGGCTCAGTGGTGGAGTGCTTGCCTAGCATGTGTGGGTCACTGGGTTCAATTCTTAGCACTATATATATATTTTTTTTCAACAACTACTAAAAATTTTTAAAAATCACCTTGTCCACCTTAAATATATGTGTAATTTTATCTGTCAATAATACCCCAATGAAGCTAACAATTTAAAAACTCAAATGGTTGAGGAGGTAAATTTGCAAATATGAGTTGCTAAATTGCTGAATGTAAAAGTACTTCAGAAGCTTTACAGAGAAATAGATTATGCTACAATGTGCCTTTATGTTCTCCTTGGATTCAAATCAAACTATATGAATGAATGAATATATATATATATATATATATATATATATATGAAGGAAAATGAGAGGGCAAATGTGAAATAGGTGTTCAGGAAATTGAAAAATGATGACTGTTAGTTTACTATATAGCTATATTATACAAAGGAAGACCCATTTCTGGAAACCAGGCCTTCTCTACCTCAGCACTACATATTAACATTTAGAACTAGATAATTCTTGGTTGAGGAAAGAGCCTCCTGTGCATCGTAGAGTGTTTTTGCAGCATCACTGGTTTCTCTCCATCATAATATTTAATATTCACCACCATCATTACCAATGATGACAACCAAAACTTTTCCCCAGAGAATATCAAATATCCCCTAGAAGAAAAAATCTTCCAGAAACTCACTTATTGAGGATTTCTGATGTAAACCAATGATTCCTGAAAAGTGATCCTCAAACCCCTAAGAGTCACAAAACCTTTTCAAAGCCAAAACCATTTTCATACTCATGAAGACATCATTTGCCCTTTCCACAATGCTGACATTTGAACTGATGCTTAAAAAGGAATAGGGGGCAAAATTGCTGGCACCTCAGAATGAATTAAGGTAAATGATAGGGAACTCTACTGGTTGTCATATTCTTCCACCACACACTTGTGGCAAGAAAAATAAGAGCCACCACTCAAAAATATTCTTGACAAAGCAGTAAAAATTATTGTATTAAAATGATCCTTGACTGTATGTTTTCTCTCATGTGGAAGCCAGAGAGGGAAAGGGAAAAGAAAGGTGAAGAATTGAGGATCTCATGAAACTTAAGAGATAAGTAGAGAAAAAGGACCAGGAGGTGGGAAGGAGTGGGAGAAGTGCTGGACAGTGATATTGACCAAATTGTTGTTATATTGTGCATATATGAATATGTAACAAATCCCACCAATATGTACAACTATGATGCACCAATAAAAAACGTGGAAAGAGAAAAATAAATAAAATGATTCCTGAGTCCATTTTTGTTCTGGGGGGATTTGAGGGGAGTACTGGGGATTGAACTCAGAGGCACTCAATCCATGAGACACATTCCCAGCCCTCTTTTGTATTCTATTTAGTGACAAAGTCTCACTGAGTTGCTTAATATATTGTTGTTGCTGAGGCTGGCTTTGAATTTGAGATCCTCCTGTCCCAGCCTCCTGAGCCGCTGGGATTACAGGCATGTGTGCCACCGCACCCAGCAAATATATTTTTTAATATTCTGTGACAAAATGGGAAGTCTTCATAAAGTACTTCGGCTGTATACTAAAGTATGATGTCTCAAAGAAAAGCATTTGTGAGACTACGCTATAAATTGAAGTAGATACTTTTTCATGGAACACAACTTTTATTTAGAAGCATTCACAAGCTTATTAGACTTGAAAATGAGAAAAAGGAGACTGTTACTTCAAGAGAAACAATTGACAGTGTTTACTACCAATGACAAAATTCAAGACTGTAAGCAAAAATTAGGGTTTTTGGGGGAAAAAAAAAAAAAAACTGTACTCACCACTGTGATCTTGACAGCTTCTGAATATTTCCAGACTTATTTAATAAGATCGGTAGTAGTGATGTTATCAGATATGACTATTTAGTTTGATTAAATGCATTTGTAAGAGCTGCTTAAGTAATATTTTCAAAATGACCAATGCATGATTTTGGTAGCTAGCCTCCAGTGAACCCCACTCCTAACATTCACACCTTTGTGAAGTTCCTTCCCACTTGCACCAGGGCATGTGCCACCTACAGAACAGGGCATAAATAATAACATATCACTTCTCTTACACTAAGGTGGCAGCAGTGTTTCTTAATCTGAGGAAAGGTTGACATGGCCATGTTCACTGCAAACCTTGAAAATTTATTTAGTCCAATATTTATGATTTGTGCCCTTTTCTATAGGTTAGAATCTATTAAAACATTTAAATATATGTAATCTCCCCCAACAAGATGCTCAGAGCAGGATGTCTTGTGGTCACATTTGTAGTGCTTGATTCATAGCGGCCGAATGAGGAAATAACAGTTTACCAAGGGAAATGGAAATGGTGCTTGAGGCTGTGCCCCTTTTCTAGGGTTTCCTACATCCCTCAGGTAATTTAATCTTGATCCCCTCTAGTCTGACAAAGGCTTCCTCCCACAAAGTTTTTACAATCGCCCACCATCTCTGTTCTTTCTCTGGTCTATGATCTTTATTAACCTTTTGATCTACTTACCCCATTTCCTGTACTCTTTTTAGAGACAAATATGAACATCTTCCAAGTTGCTAAAAAAATATCTAAATTTATCACTTAGTATTTATTGGCATTTATAATAAACAGTTCAGTAGATATTGATTTTTCAAACACAATCTTTCCTGGTATAAATTTGTACAGAGTAAATACAAAGAGCAATAATTTCCCTAAAAGAACCTATATGCTACTCATAATGTTCTTTAATAATGTTCTTTAACATTGTTTTCTCTTGTTTTAAGGATTTAGGATGCCTACAATTTAGCTAAAGCCCTGCGTAACAATGCAGGATGAATTGTATGGATACAAGATTTAGTACTAACTGAATTCTAACAGTAATGGGCCCAAATCCAACGTTAGCTACTGATAAATGAAGCCGCTTTTGCTCTTTTTATTTTTTTAAGTTCATTTTATTTATTTATTTTTATGTGGTGCTGAAGATCAAACCCAGCACCTCCCTCACACATGCAAGGCAAGCCCTTTACCACTGAACCACAACCACAGCTTTTACTGTGTGTATATCTTAACATTTTGTTTAGGTGGTTGATTTCTAGATGAAATCGGAACTAATTTAGTGGAGACAAAAATCACAATATTTTAAGTACTCAAATTTGATCAAGCACTATACAGATAGTTGGCCATGAATAAATTGTCTCACCACACCCACCCTTTTTAGTTTTCCCAGAGGTTAAAAAAGAAAGACATTAACAGATGAAAAATGAAGTTTTTCTTTATTATGAAATTGTATACTCAAAGCATACACAATAAACCACAGATTGATTTTTATCCTACCTCCGATTTACATGTTATATGTGGAAGTTCATTCATTTTGTCAAGAAAACTCACAATGAAATTGAGATTCATATTTGGGTGGGGAGGTAGGGGAGAAGCTAAAGAAAAAGATGTTTAGACCACACACATTTTTCTTTCATTCCAATGGTGTCACTTGGAACACAAATGGCAAGGAGTTCTACATTCAGCCACAGGCTACCAGGTGTTAATTCTGTGTGAATGGTATCACTACAAGATCAAAAAGGGCAGCACAAGGGAGGGAGGAAAGGGGTTTATATAAAATTATCTAAAACTCTGAAAAACTACAAAAGTATCTTAAGAAAAATATAATCAAAGTAAAAGCAATGGTATTTATTTCAGTGAAATTATTTTAAATTATATATGATATATTAAGCTCCTATATGTCCCAACTTGGTAGAAAAGTTCCTCTCAGTGAGAAATCAATTTTAATGGCAAAATTTTTACATATCAGTAAAATCTGTTATATTTAAAACTATGTATACAGTACATTTCTGGCAAAAACCTTATACATCTTTCATTCAAGACAAAGTAAAAATATGGTTGCATAAAATCACAAAAAATATAAATTGCTGAAAAGATAATAAAAAAAGAT